ACACACACACACACACACACACACACACACACACACACACACACACACACACACACACACACACACACACACACACACCAGCTCCACATCTGTAAAATGACTGAGCTGTAGCCATTTTTACCTGACTGTTGATTAGCTGTGGCGGCCATCTTGAATGAAGTTGAGTCCATACATTAATCAGTTCCAGAAGTTCATCTGATTACTTTTAAGAAAGTGTCAGTAAAATCCATCCAGTGGTTCATGAGATATTTTGCTAACAGTACAGATGAACGACTCGGGTGTAAACATTAATAATTATCAGTAAGTTTAAAGGTGATATTTAAAGCGGTGAATGTACAGAACCACAGAGCTCCTCTCAGCGGGAGTTTGTAATGTTTCGTCCTTCGTCCTCAGGTTACGACTTTGCGGAGGTTCTGCGCTGGTTCGGAGAGCGAGTGGACCGGATCATCCTGCTCTTCGATGCCCACAAGCTGGACATCTCCGACGAGTTCTCCGAGGCCATCAAGGCCTTCAAGGGTCAGGACGACAAGATCCGGGTGGTTCTCAACAAGGCGGATCAGGTAGGGCAGAGATTCCAGGTGTGACCTCTGACCCTGCCTGCTCTGACCCAGTTTCTCTCCTCACCTGTGCTCAGGTGGACACGCAGCAGCTGATGAGGGTGTACGGCGCCCTCATGTGGTCACTGGGGAAGGTGATCAACACTCCAGAGGTGGTGAGGGTTTACCTGGGCTCGTTTTGGGCCAAGCCTCTGCAGAACACAGAGAACAGGTCAGAGTCGTTTGTTCTTATTTCCTGTCTTTGTTTGTTTATTTTTTTCTTGTTTATTTGTTTACCTGCACAGTTTCTGGTTCCTCGTCTCTTATCGCTTCATTCTTTCTCTTAGGCGTCTGTTCGAGGCCGAGTCCCAGGACCTCTTCCGGGACATCCAGAGTCTCCCGAGGAACGCCGCTCTTCGTAAACTCAACGACCTCATCAAGCGAGCGCGGCTGGCCAAGGTGAGACAGGAAGTCAGCTGTTGTGCTTGGAAAGAACTTTGACATTCAGGAAACCTGAGAATCATATGGAATGTTTACCCAAGTAAAAAAAAAAAAAAGGTTAAATTTGATGTCTGTAAAACAAAACTCTGTTTTTTGTTTTAACAAAACAGATGAGGTTTTAGTCTTTTCTTAAGAAGAAGAAGAAACTCAAAGAAAATTAAAACTCTAGGATCGGGTTTTCAAGCTGTGGCTCGAGGACCACATGTGGCTCTTTCTAGCTTGGACAAAAAGTAAGATGGAGGTAAAAAAAAAAAATCCCAACAGGAACGGCTGTTTTCAGCAGATTTCCTGTGAAGTAAATGTTTGTAAATCTAAACACAAAAAGCTAAACTGACAGATCGGTTTGTGCTAATTACCAGTTAGCTCGTTAACGTCTTCATTACTTTGACTTCCAGCCACACCTTCCTCCTCCTCCTCCTCTTCTTCTTCTGAAATCCATCAGAAAATTCAAGACTCTGAAGGAGGGCAACTCCAAATATGAATAATTAATACTGTACGTTGTGAAATGCCGAGTTACGGTGATATACAGAAAAATAAAGAGCCATCCTGAAAGCAGCGGGGTTTTCAAAATAAAAGCTTGCTTTAATAAAACCTTAATAAAAGTTGAGTAATTGAAGGTTTCTGGTTTTATTAGAAATATTTCAAGAAATCAGAGTCAAATATTCAACAAACTGGAGTTATTTTCCTCTAAAGATTTGTTAAGATGCGAACGAGCTGTGCTGCAAAATGAGTCCATGAGGAATTTGTCTATTTTAGGTTATCAATTTGATCTAATTATATGTTGCAAAAGCTTAAATGATTCATAGTTTGTTGTAATTTGGCGTTTTTTTCACCTGGCAACAAGTTTTGTTTGAGCATCAATTTTATTAAACATTTGTTTATTGGTCTGGAATGACATCATCAGAAATTCCAGCCCAGTATTTAAATAAATAAATAAAGGAAGCCCCAACGGTTCACAATGATGCTTAACTTTATATGAAGGGATTTCCCAGTGCTACAGCAGCTGGCAGAGAAAAACGGTTAATTTCAAATGAAAATAAAATGATTGTTTCTGAAGATAAACACTTTGGGAAACCTTGATCTAAAGGTACTTTTGGAAGATGGAATGAATCTCTGGATGGTGTCTTATGGACACATTTTTACAAAAATCTCATTAACATTAAAACATCTATATTTTAAACTGTTTTTGTTCTGCAGCTTGAAATCCTACTGACTCTTTTTGCAGCTCGCTTCACAAATACTGTTAGGAAACTAAACCAGGTCCATCTGAAGCTGAAGAAAGCTGATTTCTGGAGTAAATTGAGGACGGTGAACATTTAATACAGCAGCTTCCTGTCTTCTAACCTAAAGAAAGGCTTTTCTCATCATCAGAGCTCTCAGCTGGTTTCTCTACGTTTGAACATTTACTTCACATCGTCGCTCACATGCAGACAAAACGCCAACTTCCTGTTTTCCTGCAGGTGCACGCTTACATCATCAGCTACCTGAAGAAGGAGATGCCGTCACTGTTTGGGCGCGAGAAGAAGAAGGAGGAGCTGCTGGCGAGGCTCCCGGAGATCTACGCCATCCTACAGAGAGAGCACCAAATCAGCCCGGGGGACTTCCCCAACGTCACCAAGATGCAGGTACGAACCAGAATCAGAACTTCCAAGAACCAAACGGAACAAAAAACATGTTTTTGCAGTTCAGTCTGATCAGAGAGCAGCCGAAAACAAAAACGCTGCAGAGTCCAAAATTAGAAAAAACTTAAAGAAGCCTGAATTATTTGATTTAGGGTGGCTCTGAACCCTGGTGGGGGCCTAACGGACGGGGCAGTCTGAACAGAAGTGCAGCTGCTCTGTGGGCTCTGCAGAGACACGGTTTGTCCCTGGCTTTGTTAAAAACCTGGCAGGAGTTGATGTTGAGATGGTTCTGTCCCCTGGTGGGACGTTTACTCAGCTGTCAGGCACAAACTGTCCTGAAAGAGGGTTTCAGACATTTATTGAGCAACACTTTGGATGATTTATTAACAAATATGGAAATAAATACATGTTTCTCAAAGCTGCTATTGGTCGCCCTCTACGATTCTTAAACATCAGCTCAAATATTTTTCACCTGACCGTTGGCGTCAATCTGATTCAAGATGGCCCAGAAGATGTTTGAAAATAAAGTACATGTAAAATACATTTTGAGCCTTTTTTCATGCTTTAGCTGAATGTAATCCTCTGCTTTTATGAAACGCCTGCATGAACAGAAGAAGTCGTCTGTGGTGTTTGTCAGAGGTCTGCAGAGACGCTGCGTCCAGCTGCAGACAGCTGGAGGTTCTGCTGCACCCGTCAACAAACATGTTTTGGATCAGTTTATCTCGTCTTGATTGTTGCCGTTAATTCTCAACAAAACGCAGCAAAAACTAACCTAAACTATCCTGGGGTTTAATGAAGCTGAACACGAGGCTTTAAATCACACTGACCTGAGGCAGCAAGGGCATCACGAAGGGGGGTCTAATGGGGGCAAGGTCACCCCTATAAATCAGCTGGGGCCCCCCCACTGGCCCCCTTTTGTCAGACAGTTTGGGTTTTCTGAGTCCTGAGGGTTTTTTTTTAGGTAGATTTTTAATTTCTTCAAGTTATTTGGGATTAAAAGAATCTCATAAGTAAACAAAAACATTATTTTTAAACAATTAGTTAAAAATAACAAATAATAAGCTTGAACTTGGAAATATTATTTTATATTTATTATCTTTTAAAATAAAGTCTTTCATTTATAATTTTCGGAAAAAAGATAAACTAATACTTGTAAATTAAGTTTGTTGTTTTCTTAATCATATGTCAATAATCAATTGATTTAATTAACTATTTTAATCTTTGTAGCTAATCCTGTGTCCTCCTCCAGGACGTCTCCAGGTGTATCTGTGATCTTGTCAGGTTTTTATTTCCTGGAAACGTTGACTCTTCTTCTTCTCCTGCAGGAAATGCTGCAGCATTACGACTTCAACAAATTTCCCTCCCTGAAGATAAAGCTGATCGAGTCCGTGGACAAGATGATGGCCACGAAGATCGCCGTTCTGATGGCGATGATCCGGGAGGAGGAGTCCAAGCAGCCTCCGGCCATGGTGTCCGGCGGCGCCTTCGAGGGCTCCCAGGATGGGCCCTTCGGTCATGGTTATGGTGAGGGCATCAGCGCTGGGGCCGACGCCGAGGACTGGATCGTCAGCCGGGACAAACACCGTTACGACGAGATCTTTTACACGCTGATGCCCGTCAATGGGAAGATCACCGGCGTGAACGCCAAGAAGGAGATGATGAATTCTCGGCTCCCCAACACCGTGCTGGGGAAGATCTGGAAGCTGGCCGACTGCAACCAGGACGGCATGCTGGACGACGAAGAGTTCGCTCTCGCTCAGCACCTCATCAAGATCAAACTGGAGGGCTACGAGCTGCCCGGCGAGCTGCCCGACCACCTCGTGCCACCGTCCCACCGCAAAAACCCCACCGCAGACGCCCTGTACAACCACACCGAGGACTAGTGTGCACGGGGCGCCGAGCACGCTGCCGAACAGACTGACTGAAACCACCACCAATCAAAATCAGACAATCAGAACCAGCTCACTCAAAAACAGCTTTTCAGAATAAAAGTCTAATTTGATTTAGACTACTTCCTGTTCGGACTCCTCCTGACACATGTCTGTTTGCCAACAGTTAAAATCTGCAGGTTTTTGTTTGGTTTTTATGTTTATTGATATTTTTCCTGTTTTAAACTTGTGAATTAAAATTTTACTTTATGTGACAAATAAAAGTTCAGTTTTAATCTTATAAAAACGCCGTATCACAAATTTTTACTGTCCGGTGTTTGATAGACCAAGAAGAAACTATTTCAAATCCAGTGAGTCGATGAAAGTAGCATTTCTTGGAGGAATGCGTGTCACCCGCCGCCTTTCATGAGTTTTAAACCTCTCGTGATCGGGTACAGCTCAGAGTAAGTGTTGAGGATGATCCTCCGCTACTACCTCACCAGATTTTAAATCATTATACGTAAATGACTCCATTTATGCGTGTGCTGTTTGATTAGCTTTGGCAACCATCTTTAATTGAATTTACTCCAAATGTTAATAACCAGTGTTTGCTTCCTGAGAGTTTCATTTAAATTCGTCCAGCTGTTCTTGAGATATTTTGCTAACAAACAGAAGAGACATTTCCATTATCCCTCACCTTTCATGGCTGTGTGTAAGTGTATACAAAAGGTAAATTCTAGTTTAGCCTGTATCGCCCTCTGCTGGAACGAGGGAGAACTACAGATGCTGAAACCAGATTCACAAGTGGAAAAGCTTGACAGCTGCCAGTCTTGCCAGCAAATTTACCCAGAAGGTCAGACCATGCAGTGCTTAGAGAAAAGTGCTCCATCACTGACTCTACAGGTCAATGGTCATGACTTGTTTGGAGCCTCCTCTCCAAAAGCAACATGGCGGCACAACATATTTTAAGAGACCAGAGGACAGATGTTTACCCAGAATGCACTGCAGCAGGTTTGGAGAGCATCTCTCTGGGAGAAGACTGCTGCTCAGTGAGGGTCACAGAAAGGGCTGCCGTTAATAAACTTTTTAAAATTTATCTGTGGCGGGACCTTCAGAGAGCTCAACTGAAGCTATGCTGAAAAGAAGAGTGGGCCACAGTTCCTCCACAACCATGAGACGGACTGAAACAGAATGCTGCTGGATTATCAGTTTTTGACTTGCAGCTTTAACCCTCCAGCTGCCCTTGGATCAAAATGACCCCTGAGGCCCCAGTTTAAATGAAGGTGGTCATTTTGACCCAAGGGTAGCAGGAGGGTTAACACTTGGCTTTAGTTTAATAAATAAAGTGGAATATGTTGTGTTTATTTCTGTGTTGGCTGTTCTTGCAGGTACACTTGAATATAAGAGTTTGCAGGAAATATTTCAGATTATATATTTTATTTTTATTTAGATCCTTGACCCCTGCAGTCTGAGAGCATGCTGCTGCAGGTCACTTCCTACAGTTTTTGATGAATCCAGACTTCATGTTGGCTCTTCTTGGTTGCGGCATCATTTGGTTTAAAGCCACATTCCAGCGTGAGATTAAAAGAAAAAAAAAAGTGCCTGTAAAACCCAGTCTTTAGGGAGGAGTTGAACCACCCACAATGATGAATAATTCAGTTTTAAAATGTGTGTCGCTGTCAGACTCCTTCCTCATTTTGTTAAATCATTTACTTTCAAACTTCCTGTGGTTTCATTACCTCTGACTCCGGACTGTGACTGCTGTCATGTCCTCCTGCCTTTAACAGACTCAATGACCTCTGATCCTCTTTGTTCCTTCTCTTTCCACTTTCCTGTCATCTCTTCACATTTGAACCTCTCTCATTTGTTCAAACCAATCAGATGAACATAAAGTGAAAGTAGGAGCTTCAGGAGGGACCGAGTTTGTGTTTGTATTCTCTCGTGAGTTACCTGAGCTCTCCTCGACAGGTAAGAGTTTGATCTTGACTCAAACTGAATTTAAGCATTTAAATGTTTTTAGTACGAGTTACAGACACACTCTAGAAACTCCTTAAATCAACAATAAAGTGATCTTAACAAAACTTTTTATTAAACTGCACAATAATAAAGATATTTAGTCAATAATTAAATAACATACTCTTTCACTGGCTTTTACACCGATCTTGTTTTTAAATAAGTCTTGATTTAATTATCAGTTCTGTCATGAAATAAAAGTGAGAACGTTTGATTTAATGCAGCTAAAAAATAAATATCTTCAGACATCTTATAATTAAAAAACATGTTTTATCACAAAACTCTAAATTTTAAATTTTTTCTAGATCTAAACATCAAATTTTGAGTCCTTTTTTAGCTCGATATGTTCTTAAGCATAAAAATTTTCAATATGTTTAATGCTTTATTTTATAGATTGTTTTTGTTTTGTGATTGCTTGCTGCACAGTTTTTTTAAATTTTGTCTTAAAAAACATATTACTAATTTATTGTAAAAATATCCATAAAGTTTTACAATTTAAGTATCCCAATTGTTTATTTTATTTTTATTTTTTTTATGAGCACAGTAAGCTTGTGTTTTAAATGCAGTTTTTACAGTTTCTGTTCCGACGTCCTGGGATCCAAAGTGAACGGACCGGATCTTGTTTTATCTGTAAACAGAACTGCTGACTTGGCTCTTAGAGACAATAAACATGATTACTGTCTCACACACAGACTGAAAGAGAAGAAGGACTTTATGTTTCTTGTTTTTAGATTTGATTCTTGCATTGACCTTGCTCTCCTCACAGTTTGGATCTCACTGAGAGAAGGTACAGGTCCCAGGTGATGGAGAAGTCCTGTGAAGGTCCAGAGGAGGACAGAGTGTCCCTAAGGAGCAACGGGAAGATGTCCCCCAATGGATCAGTGAGGGAGACTCAAGGTTTGCTGAAAACGATCAGAAGGAGCTTCAAGAAAGGTCCAGAAAGGAGTCCTGCCTCACCCAGAAGCAAAGGGTTAAAGGTCACTGACAAAGAGAACGCAGCAGGAGAGGAGTCAGAGTCTGCGTCCTTTCTATCACCTCCTTCACCCAGTGAGTATAATTGACATGTTGTTGGTCAACATTATTCAATGAGTTGATCTTTGATGAAAAAATCGATGACAATGAGTCTCTAAATGGCAGCAAAAATTGGGGTTTATTGAAGAGGAGATCCCTGAAGACAAAAAGAACCCTGAATTTTGCTGTCATTGAGACTCGGTGTGATCTGTTGTTTTAATCAAAGATCAAATTGTTGAACGACATTGACCCACAACAGTTGGTGCCCAACGCGGGGCGCCAAATGTTGTTTTTTAAATTATTATTATGTAAAAACAAATTGATGACATCAAAATTGTATCTGACAGCAAATATGGGGGAAAGACATCTTTCCAGGAGTACCACGGGGGGGGGGGGGGGGGGGGGGGGTGTCGCAATGGTCAACATAATAAAACTGTTGCTGTTTTGTGCATTTTAAATGTCCTATTAGTTAATTAAGATAAGTAGAATCTCAAAAACATTAAAAAGAATAGTTTTTGGACAATTCTTGGTTAAATAAATAATGTGCATTTTATATTTAAAAATAAAAATGTTCAAACTTGTCTTGCTGGATGCGGACATCGGGTTTAAAGTCCCGCCACATAGAAACTGCATTTTGGGAAACCCTGAACCTCTGATCCAGTGTGAGAAAATCCTTAGCTCCAAATGGTGCATTCTTGTCAAGTCAAGTCACATTTATTTATATAGCACATTTAAAACAGTAACTGTTATCAAAGTGCTTACCAAAAAAGATCACAGCATCAAATATTAATAACAAGATATTACAGCAACATGAATAAAAGCATAAAAACAATTAAACATAATGAGAAACAATGAAATACTAAATCAAATCACCCTGCGTGAAATGTCAGGGAGTAAAAGCAAAATGGATGAACACAATCATCAACAACGAAATACCAAATGAGATCACTCTGTGTTAAATGCCAATGAGTACAGATGTGTTTTGAGGAGAGATTTAAAAATAGAGACTGAGGTGGCCTGTCGAATGTTGATGGGCTTATTATTCCAGAGTTTAGGGCCCATGACAGAAAACACTCGATCTCCTCTGAGCTTCAGCTGGTTTTTGGTATGGCCAAAAGCAGCTGGTCTGATGATCTCAAGGCCCGAGAAGGAGTATAAGGATGAAGGAGGTCAGAGAGGTATGAGGGTGCAAGGCCATTAACACACTTAAATGTCAGCAGAAGAATCTTAAAATCAACTGTGACACACACAGGAAGCCAGTGAAGAGAGGACAGAACTGGAGTAATGTGCTCAAACCTGCGAGTTCCTGTTAGTAGCCGAGCTGCAGCATTTTGGACAAGCTGGAGACGTGAGAGAGAGACCTGACTGACCCCAGCATAAAGCGAGTTACAGTAGTCCAGCCGGGTTGTAATAAATGCATGGACTAGTTTTTCAAGGTCGGATCTGGACAGGACGGACTTGAGCTTAGCTATCTGCCTTAGCTGAAAGAAGCTTTTTTGAAGAACAGAATTTATCTGCTTATTAAACTTAAAGTCCGAGTCTAAAACTATCCCAAGATTGGTAACAGACTATTTTAGATATGGCTGAAGGGAGTTCAGGTTTGCAGGATCAGTGACAGAGCTAGGGTTAAACACAATGACCTCAGTCTTCTGATCATTAAAACTCAAAAAGTTCGCAGCCATCCAAGTCTTGATGTCATGTCTTGTGTGGACAGTCTAAACAAAAATTTTTTGAAAACAATTGTAATTGATTCACTGCCAGTCTAACCTACAACCTCAATAACAACAGACTACGTGGTGAAGTTCGTGTTGCAGACTCCAGTTACTCAACTAAAGTCAAAACTTCATAAGCTGATGGGCATTTGATTACCCTGATGGGCTTTGAACATTAAAAAGAAAATTGAAAACAATAAAGCTCCTGAAAGTTTGTTCTGGTTTTTAGTTTTGGAGTAACGCTCCAAGGTTGACAATGGTCCATACTCGACCTCCTGTTTGATAATTTCCTTGAGATGCCAAAAGTCAGCCAGAACCAAAAGGGTCTCAGCAGGGTTTCAGTGAGGTCTAGGACTGCAGTGGGCTCCTTGTTACAGGTGAATTATGGAGGGTTCTGAGCAAAAACAAGACTTCTTTAGCCAAGCCAATATGGGTTAATCATGAATGGATTGATTATGTGTGGCCCGTGTGCACCAACATGACTTAGTGGTCAAGACTTTGAAGAAGGACTGTCCACTCTGCCTTCATATCTACACTTCAGCCACTTCATGCCATTACATAGCTCTAAGTAAAGGTGGTATCTCACTGGGCTGCAACTGAGATTAGTTAGATTCCAAACAGTAAGAAAATTGATAAAGTCTGTGTGCCCCATGTCCAGTTTGTGAAAACTGTTTATTTTAATGTGCACAACTTGTTCAACTGTATATTAGGATGTGCAGATTATTTCTTCGTCCACATCCTACTCATCTAGACAGCCACCTCCAGAATAGTGATTTAATCCACCAAAGTAAACTTTAGGAATTAAGACACACAGATGTGATTTTAAGACCTGGGACCTAGATAAGGTACATCTGACTTATGGTGTAATTTCTTTACAGTCACTATCAACAATCTGAACATAAACGTCAACCCAACACAAAAGAGAACAACAGGGACAACCCATCTGAACACAAGACCTGAAAAAGTCCATTCATTTCTGTCCCAAGATTACCCAGCAGCCCCCTGCAGCTGCAATTGAATCCCTAACAAAATGTTTGGCAATGCCTTATTGAAGGCTCAGAGTCCCAAGTTTGGTCCCGCCCACTCCACATTGCGAATGGCTAATTTTCCTGTCAGTTACTGATCAAACTCTTCCTGCAGAGTCTCTCACTGAGCTCAGCCTTCTCTCCTGACAGCGAAGTCCCGACCAATGATTAAGAACCTTCAGACATGTTTCTGCCTGGAGACAAAAATGTAAAACAATCAGAAAGAATAACTGTATTTCATTAAATAAATAAAAAATCTTGGTCAACTGCAAAAGTAGTTTACGGAAAAAAGAGAAATGAAAGAAATAAGAAAAACAACATTGAATAATATTTTATATGAAATAAATATTAAATAAAGATTTTAATGAAACATTTCATATGTGCAGAATTCTTAGGCCTTCTCTGAAGATGTTGAAGGCCCTGAGTGTTCCCACTGGAGCATTGTCAGGAAAATAGCAAGAAAAAAACTGATTTGGTGAGCACTAAAAGCATATTCTTCAGTCTGAAGAAGGTTTTCCAATTTTTCTGTGATCCAGACAGGTTCTAACAGATCCTGTGGGTCAAGGAGAGCGTGGAGGTTTGTCAGCCACTGTGAAGGAGGCCCAAAGGGTAATATGAGCTGAACGCAGGAGGGACTAGGGGAAAAAGGCAGCTTTCTCCTTTAAAGTCCCCTCCTCCCCTCAACCAGTAATAAAAAGCTTCTTTGTCCAGCTTCTACCACCAAGTCTCACAAACTTCACCTCTGCAGCTGTTGGGTAATCTTAAAGAGAACCGCCTCTGAAAACCTCTGAGTGTTTGATTTTTCTTCACTTTTCCTTCGATCCTCCTTAAATTCATCCATCATCACCAATCAGAAACAAAACCTGCAAGAACTCGTTTCACTCGGGGGGGGGGGGGGGGTTGTACTTAAAACCAAATAATTATTCCACTGAGAAACAACAGACAAGCAGCCTAAAAGTTTAAAACCAAAGCTAAACCTTTAAGTTTAAAAATCTTGTGGTTGGTTTAAAAACAATAAAAAAGTTTAATTTGAGCACCTGTGTGGCCCAGGATAAACAGTGATTTAATCGTCAGGTCATCTGGGTGGAAGGCAGAGTGACGTAATCAGCTGTTTGTGTGTAAACTCTGTGAATTTAGCTCATAAACTATTTGAGTGGTGAAAGTCTTTAACCACTGTTGTCTTTTTAATGTGAAGAACTCTGCAGCGAGATAATATGACATCATAACTAAGAAAAGTCTTCAAGGAAAAACTCAATTATTGTTTGTTGGCACACAAAACCAGACAGTTTGTGAAATCAACAGATAAACTCAACCAGACAACTTTCACAGGAAGAACAAAGTCCAAATCTGGACAAGCTGTAAAACAGAAATAAGGTCATAAAAAACTGTTAAGACGACTAAAACTAACACCACTGCCCCACTTCTGTGGTCCTTCTGTAACCAGAGGAAGATAGCATGCTTACAGCTAAATGACAGCTGAAATTTACAGAAAAAATAAGCTAAAACGGAGTTGATAAAGCTCAAAGAAACAAACTGCTAACTAAACACTGATGGAGTTAAAAGTAGCAAAATGCTAGCTAAAAGTAGAGAAACACTAGCTGAAAACTAAAGAAAGCTACATGCTAGCTGAAAGCAAAAGGTATCAAAATATTAGATAAAAGAAGCAAAATGCTACCTAAGAGTTTCATCCATCCATTATCTTTACCCACTTCTTCCTTTTAGAGTCGTGGGGGGTCACTGTTGCCCATATCCAGCTATCACTGTGTGAGAGACAGGGGACACCCTGGACAGGTCTCCAGCATCACAAACGAGACAAACAACCATTCACTCTCTCACTCACACCTAGGGACAATTTAGAGTTACCAATCAGCCTAACATGCATGTTTTTGGTCTGTGAGAGCAAATCGGAGTACCTGGAGAAAACCCACACATGCATGAAGAGAACATGCAGACTCCACCCAGAAAGGTCTCAGGGTGGGATCTGAAACAGCAACCTTTTCGCTGAGAGGCAACAGCTCTACCAACTGAGCCACTGTGCCTACCTAAGAGTTTAAAGTACTAAAAGGCTAGATAAAGGCTAGCTAGAAGCTAAAAAAATAGCAAAATGGTAGCTAAAAGACAAAAGTATGAAAAAGTTAACTAAAAGCTAAAATAACAGAAGGGTATTTAAAAGCTAAAAGTGTATAACAAATGCTAGCTTGAAGCTACAAGTGACAAAAGACAAACTAAAAGTTAAAAGCTTAAAGTATAGCTAAAAGTATGATAAATCTAGCTAGAAGCTAAAAGTGGCAAGACTGTCAAAAATATGGTAGCTAAAAGCTAAAAGAAGCAAAATGCTAGCTAAAAATTTTAAGCAACAAAAGGCTAGCTATAAGCAAAAAATAACGGAATGGTAGCTAAAAAGAGCAAAAGGATAGCTTAAAGCTAAAATAACAGAAGAGTTGTTAAAAGCTAAAAGTATCAAAATGCTAACTCAATGCTATAAGTAGCAAAGGGCTAAATAAAAGTTAAAAGAAGAAAAAAGGATAGCTAAAGTAGAAGGCTAACTAAAGGTTCAAATTAGTAAAACATTAGCAACAAGTTGCAGAATGGTTGCTAAAACCTAAAGCTAATAGCAGCTAAAGAAGTAGCAGAAGAGATCTCAATGTATTTCAGTGAAAGCTTTTGTTTTAAATATGATTAAATATTTTTTTAAGTATCTAAGTTACAAGAAACAAGTCGTAGTACCCATCTCCTGAATGAGCCAAATGTTTTGATATAAAAATGTCTAAATAGCACAAAGTCTGCAGAAGTAGTGAGCTAAAATAAATATAAAAACAGTAAAACAGTGTGAGGCTATTCATTGACTTCCATTAAAAGGAAGTTTTCTGTCTAATAATCTTTGTTTCTCACACGTGCCTAGCTGTTTGTGTGTTTTAATTCAACACAGTGCTGCTTCCTCAATTAACTGTTTCCATTCTGTTGTGTTGATTTTTTTAAAATAAGATCATTCCAGGAAGATGTCTCGGCTGAACATTTCAGCAATATTAAGGAACATCAGTCTAAAAATGTCAAAACAAACTAATTCTTTAAAGCCGTTCATTTTAGTGCCCAAACAGCAATTCATGGGATGTTTTTCTCTCAGCAGAAAAGAGCAGAAATGTTTGTTAAAACTCTGCTAAAGTCTTTCACGTTCACATTGTCACAGCTGAACACAACAGTAGCTGATCAGTTCAACAGGAGTTAATATTTACATTCCTCATTTGGTGTGTTGTGTCACTAAAGGGACAAAGTCCTGCCACTCGTTCTCACACACGAGTACACGCATAAACAAATCTTCACGAGCTAAACCTATTTATCAAGACTATTTTTTGTCTTAAAAAGGGATATTAGGTCAGAAGGTTCTGCTGCTCTCAGCCTCTTCTTCCTACTGTCCAATCAGGTTCCAGTACCGGATCACCGGCCTCCTCGCCCCTGAAGACCATCGGGGGATTTTTCCACAAGAAGGAGGAAGATCAGCCTGATGTGGCCTCACACAAACAAAAACCTCTGGCTCGCTCAAAGACAGGTACATCGGTCCGTTCTCACAGAACCTCAACAAGTCCCTGCAGACAAATGGTTTTATCTTTTCACTCTTATGGTTCCTACAAAACCCAAAGTGTTCAGATGTTGTGTTTGGACCATCTGATCTGGTTTAGTGAGACCTGATTTAATTAAGAACTGGAAAACTTCAGAATAAATTCTGGAAGCTGCTGATGCAGCTACGATCCAATTCAAACCATGTCAGACCTGTTTGTGTGGAAAACCAGGCTGAGCTGTTGGTTTTGTTTTGACATCAAGGAAAGCCTCTAACTGTTGTTCTGATATTGGTGACATCGTGTCCTCAGATTAGAGCAGCTAAACCAAAACACACGAGAGATTCAATGCTCTCAGCTGACAGTCTCCTGATACCAGGGTTTTACTATTGAATGCAAATCTAGAGTTAAAGTGGTGCTTCAGATCTTTAACACCAGAGCTTTCTATCTTTGTAACACTCTTATTCAGTAAATGTGGCCCAACAAGAGCCCCATCCTTGGTGAAAAGTTGGGACTCCACCATGAGTTTCCCTCGTCTTTTATGCTGATGCTGGTCTTCATGGACAGGATCTCTAGGGGGTTTGGGAACCTCAGGGACTTGCATGCAATTTGCAGCGTAAAACTGCACTATTTAAGTCTGAACTCATGGCTTGCTTCCTCTAGGTTGGGTGCGAGTCTTTTTGCCTTTTTGCCTGAGTTCAGGTATCAAGGCACGTAATTTTAGAGTGATGACAAATTGGACAAACAGATCTGGACTTCATCTGAGAAAATGAAGGTGTTACTGCAGTCCATAGAGATAAAGAATAACCTGAGCTTGAGGTGAATCCGTCACTTTACTGGTACGTCTACATTCCAACTCTCACCTTTAGTCAAGAGATGTGGACCATGAGTGAAAAAAACAGATCCTAGATCAAAGCAGCTGAAATGGGCTTCCTCTACAGGGAGGACGGGCTCAGCATTAGAGATCAGGAGAGGAGCTCCGTCATCCAGGGAGAGCTCAAAGTAGAGCTGCTGCTCCTCTTCATTGAAAGGAGTCTGCTGAGGGGGTTCAGGTATCTGATTAGGAAGCTGTCTGAACTTTCCAGGGGAGTCCCAATGGAAGGAGACACAGACCTTGAACTCTTTTATTATTATATATATTAAGAGAGCCAGTGAGAGAGTTTTATACGTCTGTGGTCTGGGAATATCTGGATTCTCCAGGAGGAACTGGAGTGTTACTGAGGACAGAAAAGTCTGGCTTCCATGATGGATGGATGGATGGATGGATGGATGGATGGATGGAAGGGCGGACAGATGGATGGATATGTGTATTATGTGACTAACTATTTGTACCTGGAGTTATAAATATTTACAAATATTTTGGACTTCATTTTCTTGGCAAACCAACTTCAGATTAAAGAAGAATTCATGAACTATGAATTCAAGAGTTTAAAACAAAATGTGCTGCAGGTTTTCACCGTAAGAATGAAGTGGAAAACAAAACAAACATCTGTGTCAGTCTGATTTTTGTTGATTTTATGAAGCTGTCTGCTCCACGTCTCCAGATCCCAACATGTCCAGGTTTGGTGACTCCTTCATGAAAAAAGGAACAACGTTTCGTCGAAGCCTGAGGTTCGGTTCCAAAAAGGAGATTGAGAAAACCAGCAAGCCGGAGATTCATTTAACCACCACTGAAGGATTTGAAGAGAAGATGGAGGTGGAGGTAGAGGAGGTGAAAGAGGAATTAGAGGAGATGGAGGAGCTGTACAAACTACCAGACATCCCCCACACCCCACTGTCAGGTATGGACCTGTCTGCATGTCTTTAATGCTTCATTTGTGTCCCGGTTCTTCATCTCACTGAAGCAAATCAGTTTTTTTTTCCCATCAGAATAATTCATCCTCTGACGAACAAAACCTACAGTTAACCCGAACTTTCACAACGATATAGGAACCAGATAAAACCCTTTGATTGCAGACTTTTTTAAATGTTAGAATAGGGAGTAAACAGGTGTTATGAAAAGTTCAGAGATTTTCAATGCTGTTTTTTGTCACAAAGGATATTTGCTATTAACGCCTTTCAGCTGTGTTTTTCATGTTGTGACAAGTCCAAAAAAAATCAGCTGTAATAAAGGTTTATATTTCATCTCTCTGCTACCAGAATTTTACCAGTCATTCAGCAGTGACTAGCTCAATGTCAGATTTGTGCTACCTTCAGATGTTGAAAGAAGTTTTTAAAATAAAAATATGCACTAGAAAGAATTGTATTAAAAGACAAAGAGGAAGACCAAAGAGGAGATATATGGATGCAATTAGAGAGGACATGGAGGTAGATGGAGTGTGAAAAGAGGATGCAGGGGACAGAGTGAGATGGAGGAAGACTCGCTGTGGCAACCCCTGAAGAGGGAAAAGCAGAAAGAAGAAAATGCACTACAAAGCATTCTGTATATATACTTCCTGTTACTTCAAATGGCCACACACCTTTTTGGGTTGAAACAAAAAGCCCCTTTTTCTTCTTAAACCTTTATTTTACTAGGTGGGACATTAAGAACAGTTTCTTATTTACAGTGTCATCCTGAAATAATAGCCATGACATCTTAAAGTTTCTACACTAAGTTTAAATATTAAGTACCAACATCTTCATTAAAAACATCCTAATCCTGTATGTATCCATTTTTTTTACCTTCACTCAATATCAATTTACTTGTTTTGAATTAATTTTAAAGGTAGTGTTTTTACCCAAAAAAAGGAGGAGCTTTGGTTGTACCCCAAAAAGGGGTGGAGCAATGCTCAGTGACTGCTGTTGTAGAGAAGTAGCACTCACATGGAGCTGTAAAATATTCTATCATCCCACCATAAATAGGCTGCCAGTTCTGCTAAATAAACAGAATTATTTGTACATAAACAGTTTGTTCAGTTCAGCAAACAAGGAGCTAAAATTATATTTATTGAACTGCTGTGTCTGTTTAAAAATCCTTTATTAGGATATTAGCTTGTTAAAATAGCAGTTGTGGTGTTTTTGCATGAGAAAGCCTCAGAATTACTTTATATTTTTGAAGTTACAGAAGTTGTAAATGTGTCCTTTCTCCTCGTTTCTACAAGTGAGAATCAAACATTGACCTGGTTTCATGTTATCCCAAACTGAACTCTGTCTATACTTAAAACAGTTTTTTATCTTTGTTTTTGCAACAAATGCACCCAAAGACATTAATATTGTTTCTGCTGTAAATACACAACATTCACGGTGACATAATGTCTGTTAGCTAAAGTTTACCATGGAGGAGACGCTGGTTTGACTAAAACAGTTTTCTGTCATTGGAAAAAATAGACTTAGCAATACAAAAAAAAGTTCCCACAAAAATTCAGTGTACAAATTTAAAAGATGAAATTAGCAGAAAAAAAGCTTTGAGCTAAAACCACCAGAACAATGCATAGAAGTTAACACCAACAGAATAGTTCAAAGACGTAGGCCCAAATTAGGACAAAAGTAGCTAAACTAAAAAAAAATGACCTAAACCATAGCCATATTATGTTTAGTGAAGAGTTGAACCCAGAGTGAAGACAAAAACGTTGAGAGGCTGCAAAGTAAAAATAACAAAACTAATTTATTAGCAAAAAACAGAAAAGAAAGACTGACATGGCAGCAAAGATACAAATGGAGAAAAAAAAACTGGAGGACTCAACGGAAAAAACATGAATAGTTGTAAAAAGCTAAAACGCTCATGAGGGGAAAACTAGAAGTTTCGAATGGAGCAAAACATGAACGCCCTGAAGAACACAATGCCCCGACAATGATGAGAAAAAGGACACGACCTTTAAAATGAAACTAACGATGGAGAACCAACAACACCTGCCCCTCCCAACTCAGGTGAGCGTGGGAGGGGCAGGGGCTGAGGGAAAAACACTGAGACAAAATAAAACTAAATACCAAAATCCCAGGAATACTCAATAAACAATAACACAAAAGACACAGATCATGACAAGCTAAAGTAAAACCAACAGAAAAATAACTTAAAGCTAAAAATAGCAGCTAAAGCTACAACCATCAGTAACAAATCTATAACCAAAGCAAGTATGCTGAAGTAGACTTCAAAGAACATAAAGTTTTAACACATTTATAGCTTCAGCTCCCCGAAGGAGCTTAACACTTTGCTGCCTACTTGGTAAAAACATTATCGCCCTTTTCATTTACTGACACTGTGTTGGACCCAGCTGTCCCCCTGACCGTTCTGTTCCCTCCCAGTGATGCAGATCAACAAGCTGATAGAGATGGAGGTTCTGGAGGAGGCACACCTGAACCTCCTCGCCCTGAGGCTGGAGTTCCAGAAGGAGCAGGAGAAGTTCGATCAGGACTGTCCCACGGAGCTCTCAAAGAAAGAGAAAGACCTGAACCTGCTCTACGTGGAACTACGGACCAAGATCAGAACCATCGTCCGAGACTCGAACTCTCTGCCCGCCAGGAACGTACCTCTGCTGGTCTTCGTAGCTCGGATCATCCAGGAAGAGGAAAAGAGGGCTGCAGAACCTGGAGGACTTCCTGACAGTTGGATGGAGGCCTGGAGGGAGGCAGTGTGTGAGGGGGTGCAGGTGAAGGTGAACAGTGTTCACCTGGAGCACAGGGAGGAGAACCTCTCTTGGTTGGCCGTCCACCTGGGTCTGCTGGGGAAGACCATCGTGGAGGATTTGGAGAATGTGACAAGGGAACTGCGGTGGTCCTACCCCCCCAGCTTCAGGGTCTTCAGCTCGTATGTGAGGAGCTACCACCGTGTTGTCAGGCAGCACCTGAAGAAGCTGGAGCCACAGGTGACGGAGCTGAAGGATCTGTACGCCCTGCTGGACTGGATCCTCAACAAATACAGCAGGTCAGTTCACAGGTTCAGATTCTCACTCATTATCGCCCACAGCTGAAGGCAACACCCACTCCAACATCTTGTCATGTCAGTTTTGATTTGTGCTTCTCCATTTTTATAACTCAACCAGGCACCGATGGCCTACCATGTTGGAGAAAACATCCTGTTGAAAATCTTTGACCTCAGCTTCCTGTTCTGTTCGGGCCAGATGCCTAAACCTCCAGGTCTGGTCCCACAAATGGCTTTTCAAACAGGAAAATCTGCAGAAGTCTTCCAGCACTGGATACGATCGTTAGGTTTATGATGAGCTACAACCTGCAGATCGTGTTCATGAGGCAGATGTAGTTCTGCTCCAAGTTCTGATAGCTGCAGACGGGCCCAAACCGGGTCAGGTCCTCTGTTCTTATAAAAATGCAGATTTATAAATATTACTGTCAAGAAAACAGAATTGGCTTCATTTTTAACAGACCAAATAACTACTTTAAAATCATTTTCATTTTTGACACCAGTGAACTTCAATGACTGGATTTAAATTAGTGTTCTGAGTCAGCGTTTGCTTTTTCAAACTTTTATCTAGCATTTGTTTGCTTTTAACTAACAATATTCTACTTAGAATTCCTAGCTATTGTTTAATAATGTATGTTCTCATACAATGGCGAAAATTGGCTCTCAATATTTAACCCATCCACCACCAGGTGGAGCGGTGGGCAGCTATTGGGGGTACCTGGGGAGCAACTAGGCATGGGGTGTCCTGCTCAGAGACACCATGAGATGTGCAATGACTGGGAATTGAACCCAGGACCTTTGGGTCCTTGGTCAGCTGCCCTGCTTCCACACCATCTTGACCCCGAACTGCTTTTAGCCAGTGTTTTGATGCTTTTCACTAGTGTTTTGTTGTTTTTAGCTAGTGTTTTGTTGCATTTAGCTAGTGTTTTGTTGCATTTAGCTAGTGTTTTGTTGTTTTTAGCTAGTGTTTTGTTGCTTTTAGCTAGTGTTTTGTTGTTTTTAGCTAGTGTTTTGCTGCTTTTCACTAGTGTTTTGTTGTTTTTAGCTAGTGTTTTGTTGTTTTTAGCTAGTGTTTTGTTGCATTTAGCTAGTGTTTTGTTGTTTTTAGCTAGTGTTTTGTTGCTTTTAAACCAGTCTTTAGCTATTATTTTTCTGCTTTTAGCCAGTGTTTTGTTGCTTTTCCTCTGCACACCCCCCCCCCCCCCCCATGAGTCAGGTTCAGTTCAGTTCAGGTTCAGTTCAGTTATGAAAGCTCCCTGTTTCTCTCTGACAGTGAGAAGATCATGAGGAGTTTGTCCCTGCAGCCAGACATGACAGAAGAAAATGCTGATCTACAGCTGGAGGAAACCTTCGTCCAACTGCTGAAGGACAAATACTGCTGCAAAGTGAAGGTGAGGAGCTCCCAGAGCTCCGGGAGGACACTGAGATGTTCTTAGTGTGGACTGGCTGCTTACCTGATGGAACATCTTAATCACATCTTTTAGGTTGAACATCTGGATTTGAAGTGAAGAATCTCTTTGGTTAAGATGAGAAACTTAATCAAAAAGCATTCAGTAAATAAATAATCTTTGTATTCGTTGCTGCAGGAGGACATGAGGACAACACTGGACAGAATCATTGGACTGGAAAATGAGACCTTTTGGATAGACAGGAAAGAGCCAGAGAAGGAGGACATGTTCCTCATCTCTCCATTTCCCATGGACATCTGGACGGTAAAAGACACGTGTATTTATGATTTATTTTGTTTTAGTCATAAAATAAAAATATAACATATTCCACAGAGTCAATATTTATTAAACAAAAACAAAAGGTTAAAGCTGGGAGTGAAAAACTGATCCAGGTTCTGATCCAGCAGCTTATAGAACCTCCTTTAGCACAAACTCTCAGTAGTGAGTTCCTGTAGGACCTCATCAGTCTCTCTCATGGTTGTAGAGGACTTTTGGACCACTCTTCTTTCCATTATTGAGGTTTCTGCTCAGCTCTCTGAAGATCCACCACAGTATTCAGTCAGGTTCAGTTCTGGACTCTGACAAGACCGTTGCAGCACCTTGGTTCTGTTCTTTCCGATCCGTTCTGTCATCTGCTGTGTTTGGGATTATGGTTTTGTTGGACCCAGTTCAGTCCAAGCTTCAGCTGTTGGACAGATGGACTCATCTGACTCCAGAACCCTTTGGTCTACAGAAGAGTTCCTGGCCCTCTCAGAGACTGACAGGAGCCCAAACATCAGCCCTCCACCACCTGCTGACAGCTGGGAGGAGCTGTTTGCTGCAGTGCATTCTGGGTAAACATGTCCTCTGGTCTGGTTCTGGTCCAGAAGACTTGCGGTTCCTTCAGATGAAACTTTCCAAACTTAAGTCGAGCTGGCATGTTTTTTTAGAGAGAAGTCATGACCACTGACCTGATGACTTAGGCCTATAGTCACTGCACAGTCTGACCTTCAGGGTGAATCTGCTGTGAAGACTGTCAGCTGTCTGAAATGTTTCCCACTTGTGAATAATCTTTCTCTGTAGAACGATGAACTCTAAATGGCCTTTGACCCTTCCCAGATTGATGGGCAGTAACAGCTGCTTCTCTAAGGTCATTGCTGATGTCTTTATACCTTGGCATTGTGGTAACGCACCTGTCTGATTCACATCAAGGTGGTCTCACTGATGAGTTGATCAGCAGCTTCTGGCTAATCCTGAACATCTGAGGTCCAGTTGTGAACTCACAGCTTTAACGTTTGTGTTCTGTAGAATAAATGAAGACTCACTAGAACCTGTTGTTTGTCTGAATCCATGAAAGTTACTAAAAATATAGTTTAAAAGTTGTTCTGTGATGGGTCCACATGGTGGCAGCAGATATCTTCAGACTTTCTCCACAGTTGGTTTGTTTCTGTCCACAGAAAGTAAAAGGAACCGTTCAGAACTCCAGAAAACTGGAAGCTGAAGTGGAGCTGAAAGTGATCGCTTCCTGCGTCGAGGAGCTGAAGAACTTTCCCAAGAGGTGCGGCGCTGCAGCAGCACGTTTGCTCTAAAGACGCGTCTGCGTTTAAATCTATCAGAAGAATAAAATGTTTCCATCCTTTTCGCTGTTTATGTTTGGTACAAGACAGGAAAAAACACTCAACAGAACAGAAATTAGCCTCTAAATGGGACAGAAGGATGAGGCGGACACTAAAGTAACAAAAAGGTACCAAAAGGATGACTAAAAGTAGCTAAAGTTTATCTCAAAGCTGAAAGACAAAAAATAGAGCCGATGGTTGACCAAAGTGAATTCCTGAAGGAAATGAAGAGATCTTATTACGTACATTTCTGAGGAGAAAATATTTGTAAACATTTTCAGAAGAATAAAAGTTACAAAAGCCAAAAGTCACAGCGCATATCTGCTGAATGAGCTGAACCTTTTGAGACGGGTTAAAAAAAGCAGAAAGTGTGATGAAGTTGTTAAGATTATAAAAAAACACAAAGAAAAATGTGAAACAGGAAAAGTGTGAGTGCTGCCTCAACATTCAGAAAATAAGTCGATAAAAAGGAGAAAAATAAGAGTCCAAACTCGATCAGATCAACTTCACCTAGCTGCAGCTGTTTTGACGTTTTTAATCTGACTTAATCTGAAATTAAAAAGGATCGTGTGTGAGGGTTCGGCCTCATTTTCTTCCTCAAGTCAGAGACGTCAAACTGTGTTTTCATTTTTACCGTTAGTTAAAAAATATATATATTTAAAACTTTAACTGAGCTACTGGTTTTAACTTTGACCAACGGTTGGGCTGGTTTTAGCTTCCAAAAACCATGCAGCTATTTTTATCTTTAAGCTACTGTTTTCTAGGTTTTATCTTTAAGCTACATTTTGCTGGTTTTAGTTTTAAGCTAAAATTTTGCTAGTTGTAGGTTTGAGCTACTGTTTTGCTGGTTATAGCGTTACTGTTTTTCCTGGTTTTGAGCTTAAGCTACTGTTTTGCATATTTTAGGGTTTAGCTACTGTTCCACTTGTTTTAGTTTTTTAGCTGTTGTTTTGCTAGTTGTAGATTTTAGCTATAGTTCTGATTATTTTACCATTAAGCAACAATATTTTTAGTTTTAGTTGTTAACTACTGCTTTTCTTGGGTCCAGTTTTTAGCTGTTCTGATAATTGTAGTTTTTAGCTAATGTTTTTGTTAGTTAAACTTTTTAGCTTATGTTTAGCTAAGTTTTGCGTCTATCTAATGTTTGCAGGTTTTAGCATTTAAGTTTTAATCTGCAAATTTTAGCATTTAGCTACTGTTCTGCTAACTCTAGCTACATTTTTTGTTAATCTAGCTTTAGTTAGCTAGCTTTTCACTTTAGTTTAGCTAAACTTAGTTTAGTTATAAGCTAAACTAACTGGTGCTTTCTATTAGTTTAGATTTTTACTGTTGTTCTGATTTTATCTTGTTTGTTTTACTGTTAGCAAATATAAAACTTTAACTTGTTTTATCTAATGTTGGCTTCTTTGTTTTTCAGGTTTTAGCACTTAAGTTTTGTTCTGCAACCTTTAGCGTTTAGCAACTGTTTAGTCACATTTAACCCATTGTTTTACTTGGTTTAGTTTCTACCTATTTATCTGATATTTGTAGCATCTAGCTTTTGTTTTTTGTTAGCTTTAGTTTTTGGTTGTACTGGTATTAATTATCTTTTACTTTTAGCTCATTTTAGCTTTAGCTCTGATTGTTTTTAAACATAACAGCTCAATTTTAGCTTCTTTTTCAGTGCTTCGTGCTGGATTTAAGTAGAAAATGCGTTTTTCTTTTGTTTTATTAAAACCTAAAAATTAAAACATTTCAACAAACTGAGCCGATAGTGAAAAAAACTGGTCATTTCAGTGGAACATTTGACCTTTCAGCTTATCTTAAATCAGCTGAAATCCTCAACAGTTTCCAGTGAAGCGCCTGTTTTTAAGAAGTCACACTATTAGTTTGTGTCGGTTTATGTTTGTAAAGGCTACGTGCTGCAGGCTTGTACAGATAAACGTCCAGATCTCAGACTTTATCTCCTCGCAGAAGACGCTCGGCGTTTTGAGCAGCTCTAATTCTGCGTTTCTTCTCCTGCAGGTTTGAAACAGAGTTCAGGTCTCACTGCAGCGCTCTCCAACCACATCCTCTCTGGACTCAGTATCAGATCACCTACATCAACAGCTTTGCTGCTTTGCAGTAAGTCACATGACATCCCAGAGTTTCCCATGATGCACTGTGAAGCTGCCCAACACACAAACTAAAGAAAGAGTGACTGTCAGTTTCAGGCTTTAAAACTGAAAGAGATTTTAAAAAACGACTATTTGCCTGAGCGTTTGTTTTAAAAGCTCTCTACAGTAGTTACAGTGTTGCTTGTTCGTTTATAAAAGAGTTTCACGTGTCCTGATTTTATCTTTAACACTTTATTTTGGGTCTTAAACCAGCAGAACTTTACAGAGTGACTGCACGTGTAACGAGGCAGTCATATCCAACAAGCCAAACCAACGTGATGTCCACAAACACAAAGAAAATAAAGAAACGTAAAACCTCACAAAATAAATGATGCTCAGTGGTCAGATTAGATCGGTCTTCTGGAACAGATTAAAGGTTGGAAATAATACTTTTATTAAAAAAAAAAAGATTAAAGTTAGTGTCTATCTTCCTGCAACAGCAGGAAAAACTATAATATTTAGTTGTAATCACTTGTTTGACTTTAAAGATGAAAACTACATGTGTATATTTGAGCTTTTATTTTGAACAGCCTAAAACTACTGAAGCTGAAGATATTTCTGTTTGAGCCCACATCAATGTGTTCCTGTGAATCATCTTGATTGAGAGCTTTATTTGGGTGACTCATCTCGGAGCAGACTTGCAGAACCAGTTTTCCTCCTGTGGCGAGGACCGGCATGAGTCAAAATGAAATGAGCTTCGCACACTTCAGACAGAAGGGCCAGCTCTGAGCACGCCGCTCACATGTGAGCGCTGGAGGAAAGGTCATGTGATTTCAATGAAAGTGAGCAGCGAGAGGGAAATGGTTGTGAAAGTGAAAAAAGTCAGAGCTTGATGCCGCAGCTGCTGCTGTCAGTCTGTAATAAAACACGTGTGGTTTGATGCAGCTTAATTTGGGACATTTGAGCCAAGCATTCCCGCTGTCGCCTTCACATCTGTTCCTGTTTTAGTACGAGGTTGATTTATGCCACTCGAAATCAAAACTCCTCTCTGCTGCAGAAAATATATATATATATATACAGTAGTTTTACTTCAGATGGTCTGCGGTGAAGGATTGACTGGGAAATTACATTTTCTGTCAAAATGCATCTGAAAAAGCATAAAAGGAGTTTTAAAAAGTTAAGTCAGGTCCTCTGGATGGATTAAAAAAAAATATATATATATATTTTTATGTTTTTGAATCTGTCCAGAGGACCTGACTTAACTTTTTTAGATTTTTCTACATGGATTATTGAGCATGCATCAGGACACAAAGGAAGTTTTTAAAGAAGCAGAAATCTAACTTAAAGCTTAAAATAGCAAAAGGCTAAGTAAACTAGCAAAGGGATAGCTACAAATATCAAAAGTAAGGCCACTTTGTAAAAGTAGCAGAATGGTTTTGAGGTCTTTGTGTGCTTTTCTAATTTGTTCTTTTTTTTTGTTTAATTCATTATTATTATTATTTTAATTATGTTGTATTGTTGTGTGTTTGAATACAACCGTAGCAAAACACTAGCTAAAAAGACAGAACACTAGCTAAAAGACAAAAGTGGAAAAGCATTACCTACAACAACAACAAAAAAAACAAGCTAAAAGACAAAAGAAGCAAATTACTAGCTAAAAGTCTAAAGTAATGAAATGCTAACTGAAACTAGCAAAGGCTTGCTAAAAGCTAAAAAATGGCAAAATATTAGCTATAGGCCAGAAGTAGTAAAAGGCTAGCTTAAAGTACCAAAAGGAAAAGCAGCAGAATTGTAGTTCTTCAGGTAAATAGGCCTTTTATAATATATTTTACTGTCCTTTTGTTTTTGTTTATTTTTTTACATATTGTTGTCTGATTGAAACTGTAGCTAAAACTAGCTAAATGCTAGCTAAATAAGCACAATGTTAGCAACAAGCCAAAATAGCTAAAACTCACTAAAACTAGTGAAACACCCACCTTAGGACCAAAAGAGCAAAAACACTAGCTAAAAGTCAAAAGATGCTGGTTAAAACTAGGTGTACTTAGCAAAAGGTAAAAAAAAATGTTTAAAAAATCTAACACAAGCTGGCCAGAAGTAACTAGCTTAAATGATCAAAAAGCTAGTTACAGGCCAAAGCTAAAAAAAAGCCAAATACTAGCTAAAAGTAGTTTAAGAAAACAAAGACAGAGCTGGCAGGTTGACGTCCTGTGTCCTGCAGGCAACACATGAACGGGTACAGAGACAGCTGTCCCAAGGAGCTGGAGGGATTCAGACGGGAGGTGATGTGGCTGATTGTTCGGCTGATGCAGTGCCTGGAGGACCAGTTCAAGGAGGAGGTTAAGGTATTACTGAGTTTTATCAGGGAAACACCCACTTCTGATTGTATTTTTATTTGTCTCCTCTAAAAAAAAAAGTAGATTTTCTGTTGTGGCTTTTTAGAAAATGAACTGAAAACAGATTGTTGCCTCATAAAGGAATATTATTTCGATCTCTGAAAGATGATTTTCAGACTTGTGCTCACAAAAAGAAAAAGTTTAGCTACAATCAGGAACAACAAATTCAAGTTAGAAGACATTGTTTTATTGCTGACAGCGGTAAATCTTGTTCATGGTTGATTATTTAATATCTGAGAGGAATTTGTGTTATTTTTATCTCTAATCTTCTAAAACAGCAGCTACAGTAAAATCTCACCTCAGAGTCGTTGTTATCAGAAACAACTTATAATTACAATTAAAACTTATAATAGTTGTCAGACCCCCCTGATTTTTTAAAGGATTTTAACTCAGAAAACAAAGTTACTATATAACCAAGACTAACCATGAAATGAAGCCTCAAACAGTGGTCTTTTAGCTTTTTTAATTTTGAAACATTGGCTAAAGGCGGGATAGAAGTAAAAGCTAAAAACAATCCAAAAGTTGCAAAAGACTAGCTAAAAACTAAAGGTAGTAAAGCACTGACTACAAGCAATAAAGGGTTAGCTAAAAGCTAAAAGTATCACTTTTAGCTTGTTGTTAACCATTTTTGTCTACTTTTGTCTAGCCTTTTGCCAGCTAAAGGTAGCAAGGGGCTAGCTAGAAAAAGCTAAAAGTAGCAAAGGTTTAGCTAAAAAACAAAAGTTGCAAAAATTCACTACAACTAAAAATAGCAAAATACAAGCTAAAAGCAGAAAATGGTTAGGTAAAAGTAGCCCTTTTAGATTTAGGTAACCTTTTACTAGCTAGAGGTAGCAAAAGCTAGCTTGAAATAAAAGCAAAAAGTAGCAAAACACTATAGGTACATACTAAAAGTAGGAACATGCTAGCTAAAAGTAGCATCAGCTAAAAGCTAAAAGAAGCACAAGAAGGCAAAAATTGAGAAGTTGATTTTAAAGAGTGCAGAGATTCTGAATGATTTGAAGAGCTCTTAATTTATTTATATGGGAAAATATTTGTAAATAAAGTTAAATATTGTGAAAAGTTTAAAAGTTACAAAAAACAAACATCACAGCACTGAATGAGCTGAGCACTTGATGTAGGAAAAGCTAAAGTAGAATGAGGTCTGCAGAAGTGGTTATATTCCATTAATTAAAACAAAAGAAACAACAAACAAAGTGAGCTCAGTAAAGCTAAATAAAAGCTTTGATACGTTTCATGTGAACTGCCTGAAGTGTTTCATCTAACTTTTATTTGACCTAGGTGTGTAGGATAGAAACATCCAACCCTAAATATTTTTAAAAGTCATTTTTCTTTCTTTAAATAATGTCTGCTGATTCTCAGTCGTACCTGAGGAGGATGATGTCGAGGAAGTGGCTCACCAACGATGAAGACTTTAATCACCTCTGCAGCCGAACGCGGCTGTTGTCCCAGCACTGCAACCTGATGAGGCCTCCTCAGGCTCAGGTGAGGGGGGACGGCCGGGAAAACTGTCCCAGATGAGAGTCCTGCTAGGAACTGCCTGTTCAACTGCTGTGTTAGCAAAAATTTCATGGTTAGAATAGGATTTTAAAGACACTTTCAAAAAGGTATCATAGGATATACATTTAAAACTAATTAACTTTCAAAATCATCCTGGTCACCATGTAGAAGACGTTAGCAACACAAAAATGGTTCTCAGTCAGTTTTACAGATCGTGGGTTAAAATTTGGTGTGGTAGTAGCCGAGAGTCATTCCCAACATATACTCGGAGCGCTAACAGATTGTGTACATCTCTTGATATTGTGTGTGATTGAGCATATACTTAATAAAACTGTTGTTTTTTTTTTTTGTTTGTTTGTTTGTTTTGTTTTTTATCAAATTTGGACCGAGCCAGCCCGGCCTGGGTAGTTTTGCCTCAGCAGGTTATCAGTTTGACTCAGAAAACCATTTTAAGTTTTCTATGCGAAACTAAAGTTAAAACGATTCATTATTTAAAGTAAACTCCTGAAGTTTAGTTAAAAATAACTGAGTTATTATTGTTAGCTAGCTGATGCTAACTGCTGTTAGCATCAGCTAGCTAGCATCAACTATTGTTATTTAGGGTACCCAAACAGATGTTTTATTGAAAACTAAAGTTACTAACATACCAAACAGGTTAAACATGTTATAACAAGTTGTTTGGACCATCTTACCTTCATTTATTACCTCCTTAAGCTGAGGTCAAGTCAGATAATTTGGTCATCTGAAGCATGACAGGACCAGCGTCTCTTTATAGGGCTCTGGACAGGACACAGTGTTGCCAGAAAGTCACACACACACACACACACACACAATCACACACACACACACACACACACACACAATACCCCCACGTCCTGTAAAGATATATTGGTGTTTATATGTTCATCGATGTGACTAATCAGAATCAGTTAAACGTGAACTTTAGTTATTCAGAAAATCCGCACGTCACATTTCAGGATCTGGTTATTATAGAAAGAAATTAAATGTTAAATATGAATACGTCAATATTTATCACCACAGTAATAGTGTTGCACACATTAGCAGTTGTAAACACTCAAAAGAATACATGTTGGTTTATTGCTGACCTATAACATATAAGGAGTAAACAGTTGAAATAATCATGTTAAAAGTTACAAATGTTGTCTTTGGTGTCTGTTTGTTTTCCAAAAATATTAGTGTGTGTGAATGACAGGTGTTAACATAAAACACTTTGTAGAACGGTGCTTTATGAAGTTCAGTCCATTTCCTTGTGTTAGTTGACTGGCATATCTGCCACGTTCAATATGGCGGCCGCTCCGACGTACCGCTGCATCGGGCTAGCCCACTATAGACATTAATGGGTATTAAAGTCTATGCATCCCACTCAACGAGGCGTCTACTACAACTAGCACCGCCTCACCATTCTCTGTTGTGAATGTCCTGGCAGATGACAATAGACAATCAGTGATGGAGAAAGGTCAGGGGACGTGTTGCTATGAACCAATAATGATGAATGATTGTTTGCAATGTATTTTTTCATTTTTTTTTTCATTTACCCTTCATTTATACAGGTAGTCTCATTGAGCCACGAGAACTCATTTTCAAGAGAGACCTGTTTAGGGAGCAGATGGAGTTAAGGGCCTTGCTCAAGGGCCCAGGGTGGGTCGAATGAGGGTTAATAGGTTAACTCAAAAACCGCCAATCTGACTCCAAATCCGCCAAAATTGTCCCCTCCCGCCCAAAGCAATTTTTACCTGAATGTAAACCGCCCAATCTGGTAACACTGCATGGAGTCATGTAGCTAGCCTTTTACTTCTTTTGGCCAACATTTGACTAGTTTTAACTTTTAACTACCATTTTACTCCTTCTTTTTAGTGTTTTACTCCTTTTAACCAGCTTTTTGCTACTTCTAGATAATTTATTTCTAGACAAGCTATTTTCTACTTTTAGGTGGCACTTTGCGTGTTTAGTATTTAGCGTTTCTTGAAGCCAACATTATGGTTAGCTATTGGCTACTGTTTAGTCCTTGTAACCAGCTTTTTGCTACTTAGCATTTATCTACTTTTCTTTATTTTACAGTTTCTAGCTTTTAGCCAATGTTTAATTCCTGTAAACTATTACAAGGTATTTTGCTCCTTTTAGCTACCATTTTGCAAGTTTTGACCAGCGTTTTACTACTTTTAAGTTAATTTTTGTTACTTTAAGCTAGATTTTGCTACTTGTAGCTAAATTTTTGTTACTTGTAGCTTTTACTTAACTACATATAGGTAGTGTTACACTCCTTTTAGCTAACTCACAGCTGACATTTTGCTCCTTTTACGCAGCTTTTGTTACATTTATCTTTTAGTTAGCAGTGTGCTGCATGTGATGCGATTAGCTTTTTTTAACTAGCATTTCGCTAATGGTTTGCTCATTTTAGCTTTACCAACTTAGTTTCAGCTCTGATTAAGCTATTTCACTGTTCTTCCGTTTAACATTATGATCAGATTTTCTCCTAAAAATAAGAAGCGAAGTCAGGAAACTAGATTAGGTTTAACAGATGAATTATCTTTAACAGGATCATTTTAGATCATGATGCAACACACACTGAATCTCCTGGCGTCTGTTTTAAGTTTGTTGTTAAATTCTGTAAATGTTTTGTTAATGTGCAATTGTTGGACTTTTCTTATTGCTCAGTAAACTTTAAACAAAAGAGCTGCAGCTAATTTTCCTGGAACATTTTAGAGGAAGTCCTCATTAAGGATTTATTAACTCTCTGGGAAGTTCCAGGGCTTTTCTCCTGCTTCCAGCAGCATGAAAACTTTCAGTGGAAGAAACGGGATGAATGGGTGGAAGTGGCGGTGTGATCGTACTGATGTCCTGTTGTTTTTGCTCGCTGACAGGAGTTTGCGAGCCAGCTGCATTACCACGTGGCGAAGGAGTACCTCGGCCAGCTGATGAGGAGCAACTACTCCTGCAGGAACCGAAAACACGAGAAGGCAGCGGCCAAGATCCGCCAGCAGTGGAGCGCTCTCAGGGATCTGTTTGAGGAGATGGTAGTGTTTCCCTTCCCTCTGAACGGTTTATTCAGGAGTCCCAAATTTAGGTTAAATTATGTGAGAATCTAAACGGGTTTGGCGCTGCTTTTAGGCAGCCCTTAACTTTAAACGTGAAAAATGAAACAAGTGACAAAATGGCCGACATTTTGACATTTAAACTGTTGAAAACGAGATCAAAAGAAATGCAGTGGCTCATTAGGATCACCATGGTAACCACCTGTATCTGTCCTTTAAAGAATAAGCAGACAGAACTGCAGAGCAGAAAATTAGCCTCAAACAAATAGTCGCTGTGCAACATCTGTAAGTCAGATCTTACAAAATGCTGGCCTGTAAGCGGCAGATGCATCTGATCACCTGAGATCTTAATTTATATGTCTCTGCAGTGTATTTTGTAGAAGATATGACAAGTTAAAAAGAGCCTTCCATTTCAGTTTTGAGGAGAAAAGTCAGAGCTGTTTTAAGGGAAGTCACTGGGAGTTTAGGTGTGCACAATGCTCTCCGAGAGGACTTTATAAAGAAAACCATCAGTCCTACAGCAGTGAGACGACCGCTGGGTGAAAGAGGGAAAAATACCTACAAGTTCATGTATAAAATGGAAAAGTGTGAAAATTGTGGCGTAAGAAGAGTTTACTTTCAAATATTTTTAAAAAGTTTCAACTAAAAGTTTCAAACCAACAATTTTCAGTCAGGTCATCTGGACATTTTCTTTTTTTGCTGAAACGTTTCACCTTCCATCCGGAAGGCTTCATCAGTCAAAGAAACACACAACAAAACTGATTCTTCCCCCAAACAGCTTACTCCAAACCAAAAAAGTCCATGCTCAATAATCCAGGTATACAATCCAACAATTTTCAGTCAGGTCATCTGGACAGTTTCTTTTTTTGCTGAACCGTTCAGTTTTTTGGTAAAAGTTTCAAAGTTTTGAGCTACTGATTCACAGAATAAAAGTGGGAGAGATTTATGACTCTAAAACTTGCTGAACGAAGTAAATAAACATATAAGCCAAGACACACATAAACCATTAAATCATTTTTATTCAGGTGTGTCTCAAATACATTAAAAAATATGTAACTTGGAGTGATTTAAAATTTTATTTTGATTACTAACAATAATCTCAAGACTCCTGAATGGTTTGACAATCAAACTCCAAGTTGAACATTTTGTAGTAAAATCTACAAAAATCCTCCATGTTAACCTGCGATTGTGTAAAAACTTTTAAAGTTTTGAAAACAGCAGTTCAGTTCTGTAAAGTCCAGCGTTCTGTGAACCGTTTAACCTCTGGTTCTGCTATGAAGTCAAGTTCAAGTTCCTTTTTTTTTTATCCCCAAGGGGCAATTTGTTTCAGTCAGTAGGCGCATAAACCATCCATACTAGACATTGAAACATTAAAATAACAGTACAGAAATCATCACTGTTCAGTGAGAAGACTGATCGCTACATGGATAAATGAGCTTTTCAGTCTGTTCATTCTACATCTGGGCAGCAGATACATGCGTCCAGATGGAAGCAACCTGAACTCACCATGGAGTGGGTGATCAGGATCTGCCAGAATCAGCCTGGCCTTGTTCACTGACCTCGCCTTGTGTAGGTTAGTGAGGTTTTGTAGGGCTACGCCAGCAGTTTTGCTGCACATCATGTCAATCCCTGAAAGTTTCTTTCTGTTTTTGCATGTCAGAAGTCCAAACCAACAGATGAAGGTAAAAGTTAAGACTCAATAAACATTCTCATAAAAGTCGAATCAACATTAAACCCACAGAGCTTCCGATAAAAATACATTCTTTGGTGGGCTTTCATACAGAGTTCACATGTGCATGAAAGGTCAGCTAGTGTGAATGCACCCTTGCCCTGTTTAGTCCGCTTTAATCGAACTCTAGCTCCTTTTCCTAGAAAGTCCGGCTCGTTTGGGGAGGTGTGAACGCGCCATCGAACTCTGTCACGGAACAAAAAGACGAACTCTGGCCTGGGCTAAAACCTAGGTCTCGGTCTGGTAGAAACGAACTCCAGCACGGTTCGAGTACAGTGTGAATGTAAACAAACCGGGCCGCTCCGCAGGACAAACAAACACGCATTGCTCTGACCTTATATGGAGCCGTCAGCTGTCTTGTGTGGAAAAACAATATTCTCCATGGTCTTCTGTCTCATCTTCTGCTCATGCTAAGTCCATTTTTGAAAAATGACAAAATATAACTCCTAAAACTGCTAATACTTGATGCCACTTCATTTATTTTTATTTACAGAAGAAGAAGAAGACGTGTCTTCAGAGGTTTTTGTGTTGTTTCTTTCAGTAGTTCTTGGTGCAGCGCCCCCACAGGCGAGCGGGGGAATAGGTTGTTTCAACAGGTTGACTCGACTGCACAGTGCAGTGTGAATGCAAACTCACCAGCTCAAATGTAAACAAAATGTTATGAATATTGGTCCCGAACCGAACCGAGTCTACCGGACTATCTGGTGTGAAAACGTAATGATGCATGAATATAAAAACCTTGTGACGTACCAGATTTTCTCATCCAGAAAAGGACATTTTAGTGAAACCTTTTCATTCAGGTTTTTAAACATAAATACATTTTCACACAGATCTGCACCAGTGAGTGTTTTAAACCTTAGTGATATAAGGTGGGAGGTTGTTCATGTTTTATCTCCCCAGTATGGTTCAAGAGCTGAAAATCCAGGGCTTTCCTTTCACATGATTCATGCCATGACATGATTCATTCATTTTTTCAGGTCTCTTGTAAATGAGTCCTCAAGGCTCATTGGGATTAACCTGTCTAAATAAAGGTTAAATGAATGTTGCGCCAACAGATAAGTCTTCAGGAAGCAGACATTTCCCATCTGTAGTGAAGGTTCTGCTGGTTTCGATCACAGCTCACAACATAAGCTGTATCTCTGACGGTCCTTATTACTCATGTCAGATTTCAGACTGTTGGTCTTTGTTGAGGTTCCTTGGAGGCTCTGTCTGCTATCTTTCCCATTTATGTGAGGATTAGTATATACTTTGTATCTACAGGGTACTTGTTTATTTTATGAGCTTTATTTAACCAGGAAAATCCCACTTAGATCACAGATCTATTTTGCAAGGGATGCCTGCAAGCCTATCATGTTTTTGGACTGTGGGAGGAAACCAGAGCACCTGGGAAAACCCACGCAAACATGAGGAGAGCATACAATCTCCACACAGAAAGACCCCAGATCCAACTGTGAGGCAACAGTGCTAACCAATAATCCACTGTGCTGCCACGACTGTACTGAGTTTAGAACCCAAACTGGATTCCAACCGAGTAAAAAACAGACAAACCCTCAACTTTAAAGGCCTTAAAAACTAATTTTCTTCTGCAGAAATCCTCTCATGAGTGGCTCCACCATGCAGGAGACGACCTGAGCAACATCATTGGACAAAGAAACAAGACGGACATCAAGAACAACCTGCAGCGTCTCGTCCAGCATTATCCAGACTTTAGGTGAGCAGCTGTCTCATTACGGCACCACGGAGGCTTTCAGTCAAACACTACCTGTGTTAGGCATCAGGAGCTGTGCACAAAGTTGAGCTTGCTCCTGCTGCAGGTTGGACTCCATCAGGGCTGTCTCTTGTCTCTAATCCTGTTTGTGGCGTTCATGAACAGGTTCTCAAGGCACAGTCATGGAGAAGACAGGGTCTGGTTTGGGAACCTCAGGGCCTCATCTCTGCTCTATGCAGATGATGTGGTTCTGTTGGTGTTTTCAGGCCATGATCTTTAGCGTGCACTGGGGTGGTTCACAGCCGAGTGTGAAGCAGTTGGGATGAGAGTCAGTTTCTCTAAGTCTGAAGCCACGGTTCTCGACCGGAAACTGAGATGGATCCACAGATCGGGGCCTCATCATCAGTAATGAGGGCGTTGCATCAGTCGGTTGTAGTGAAAAAAAGGGTCAAGTCGAAAAGCAAAGCTTTGGGTTTAGTTTCAACCCTCACCTGTGGTCATGTGGCTTGGATCAGGACACAAAGAACCAGATCCTGGATCCAAGCAGCTAAGCTGTGTGGTTGATCCAGTGTGGGAGGGGATTTTGTTGTGTTTTTGTTTTGTTTTGAGTGAGTTCTGAAAAAAATACATAAATAAAAGGACTGATTAAAAAAATTTTGATTATCTGAGCTGATTTCAGCTGCAGACCAATCATCAGAGCATCTGAAAGTTTAGAAAAGAAAAACATAAGATCCAGCCTGGCATGAGAACCCTGTGGATTTCCCAGCATTCACATCATTTCCTCAATTATCAAAGAAAAACATCAAGTAATTAAAATAAAAAAAAAAAAATCTAAAGCAGGAGTCCTGGGAGGGTTCGGAGCTGCAGTTCATCTGGAGATTTCCTGTCCACTTTCTCATAAATGATGCAAGTTCATTAATGTGGAACCATCACGGAGGTTTTTGCATCACTGCACCACATCTGTAATGAAACCTGTGGTTGTGGTGTCAAAAAAATGTAAAAACACCTTAAAAAAAACAGAAACGAAGACAAATTGTCAGAAGGTTCCCGTTTGTGTTCAAAGAAGCCCAGAACAAGAAAGTTCTATTTAGATGGATGGGGGTGAGGGAAATAAAAAAGAATTATAAAAGTGAAATGAGAATCCCAGCAGGGTAAGATCTGAGGGGTCTGAGAGGGTCTGAGAGGGTCTGAGAGGGCATGGTAGCTGTGACAGCCTTCTTGATCTGGTCAGTCAAACATAGATCTTCAACAAATGATTATTTTCAAGTTACTTTAAAACCTTTCCATTGTTTCATGAGATATTTTGCTAACAGACAGACACATGATGGCCTTCCTTACTTGGCAGCCAGTGACAGATATGTTTAAGTTATAGATCACAAGCCAAAAGTGGCAGCAAAAACTAATAAAACACTAGCTAAAAGTCAAAAGAACAACACTAGCTCAAAGAAAAAGAGATGTGACCTAAAACTTCCAGAAATCTATCTTAAAGCTAAAGAAAAAGAAAAGCGCTAAATAATAGCCAAAAGAAGTGAAATGCTAGTTAAGGCTAAAAAAGAAACATTAGCTAAAGCAAAAAGTGATAAAATAGTTTAAATGAGGAAAATGCTAGCTAAAACTTAAAAGAAGCAAAAAGCTACTTAAAAGTCAAAGTAAAAATACAAACATCAACAAGAAGAACAATGTTTGAGAATAAACTGAAGAATCTTCAAGTAATTTTATGGGAATTTGTTAAAAAGAATAAAAATAAATTATATATATATATAAATCTCCTAGAGGAGCTAAACGTTTTGAAGTATAAACAGCTAAAATATTACAAAGTCTGCAGATGTAGTTAGACTGTAAAAAGTGTAAAAATAAAAATTAGGGAAACAGTTTGTGATCTGTTAGCACTCAGAGTACGTGTTAGGAATGACTCTCAACTACCACCACACTAAACTTTAGCTCAAACCTATAAAACTGACTGAGTTATGTCCCTGTTCTGTGTTTAATGAGGCCAGTTAGCCCCAGATATATATATTTTTACATTATGGTGTTTGTTTCTGCCCTCCTGCAGCAGGAAGCACCTGGTTGCTCTTCTGTACTTCAGGGGTCTACAGCGAGGCCGCGAGTACCAGCTGATCCTCCAGAGACTCACAGCCCTGAAGAAAGAAACGGGCAGCGCCGGCAGCGACCGAAGCCGAGTTTTGTTTGGGGACATGCAGGTCACCATCAACACGGACTGTCTGTCCAGCCTGCCGTCCTCCTGCCTCGGCTTCCTGCGGAGGGACAGCTGAGGACACCTCATTTTAATTTTGTACAAACTTGAACCTCCAGTGGTTTTACTTCCAGCACTTTATGGTTCCAGCTGTTGAATGTTTTCTGGGAGTCGGTTCAACTGTTGGAGAGAGGGGAGACTTTATGAAGATGATGCTGATTTAATGAACACAATAAAATATGTTTGCTGTGATGAATATTCATTTTGTGTCACTCCTCTCATTAGAGGAAAACTAATCTGAAATGGAAAAGTCCCGAAAAATGTGATCTCACCTGTTGTACATTTCTTCAGTGGTTGTTCAAAAAAAGATACTGTTCTCCAAAATCCCACTATAAAAATGACCAGAACGTCCAAAACAGTGGTTTGGACATGTCCAGAGGAGGGACAGTGGTAGAAGGAAATGCAGCTACCACAAAAAAGACAATAGAAGATATATGGATGCAGTTAGAGAGGACATGGAGATAGGTGGAGTGAGGACAGAGTGAGATGGAGGAGGATGACTTGCTGTGGTGACCCCTGAAGAGGGAAAAGCAGAAAGAATTGAGTTTTTACAGAAAATGTAATTTCTCCAGGTTTTCTTGTTGCTGTTTCCTTGTTTGCTTCAGAAAAAAAGTTTTGTAAGCGCAATCATCCAGGTAGATAGCAACAAAAATGGTTAAACCATGTCATCTGGACCTGTTTCTTTAAGTGAAGAAACGTTTCGTCCCCCATCCAGATGACTTTGTCAGTCTTAGTTTAGAATAGAATAGAAACGGCCTTTATTGTCCCATGGATGGGAAATTCACGTGTAACAGCAGCAACAGATAAAAAGAGTCACACAAAAGTTCCTAAATGTTAAAAACAATGTATAAAGAAATAAGATAAACAATATCAATAATAATGTTCAATATGTAATGGAACATTGATAAGGACAGACTATTTACAACACAGTATTTATATTTACAACACAGTATTTAAGAGTCCTTCAGTCTCCCAGCACCTGCACTGGGTCGAGGGGGCATCTAAGCGCAGAGCTGGCCTTGTTTTGATGTTATCTGGACGATTGAGCTTTCTGCACCTCTTTAGCCTTAGTTGTCCACAGGCTGTTTATATTCTATTCTATTCTAAAATAGCCTAAAACACTTGATTGCTGTTAATGATGATTGATGGTTTTGGATTGGTGTGCTTTGTTTGCACGTGTTAAACAGCCTTCTTCTGAGATTCCAACAGGAAACAGCAATGAAGGCTACCTATGGGACAGATCTGGTTGACAGGCTGCAGACTGATGAAGTTCTCTGGATGGGGGATGAAATGTTTCTTCACTTAAACAAACAGGTCCAGATGATTTAACCATTTTCGTTTCCTTGTTTGCTTGACGTCTACACTCCTACATACATCTACATGCCTGTGCATGCCTGCACGCCACACATACCTGCATCAGTGACTATCTGCTGTCTACTTTCTGTGCGACTCTCCTGTGTGCTTTATTTGTTAAAATAATTGACATGTGAAGAAGAAAGCTTGCAGTAAACTGTAGAAGTGTGAAAACAACCAAGTGAATTATTAATAAATTACAGTGTGAGGCCTTGATTAAAAAAAAGCTACTTTGTAATGAGAAAAAGCACGAAAGACCCATTTAAATGTCTTTTTATATTTTCTAAGGAAGAGAGAAATGTGAAGCAGGCTCAGATTATTTCATTTCATTTCTCTCCTGGTCTGTAAAAGTCATATTGAGATTGACTATTTTATGAACTATAAGAAATATTTAAGTGGTTTCTAATTTAAAACAAACAATAATCTCCTGAAACATGAGTTACTCAAAGATTTACATCTCAGAGGAAGTGCACACAGGTACACACAGGTTTTTCTGCAGAGAAGCTGCAGAAAAACCCAATCTGGACTCAGAAACTATGCGTTGTCCTGTTTGTCCCTGTTTCTCTGACTAGTCCTTCACACTCGCAGGTAAGATGATTATTAATCTGTGGTCATGCAGGTGTTGCTGCAGCAGGATGGAGGTTCTGATGGGTCGTGTTCAATTCAGGGAGTATCTAGGATGAAAAAGCCGAGCAGGATTCCTGCAGCCAAACAAACATTTCCAGGCTGAGGTGAAACAACAACATTTATCAGCTAAATCTTCAGCTTATAACAGCTAAACCTGCAGCTTTTACCATCAAAGAGCCGTTCCCTCTGCTCCTACTGAATTAAATCAGCCCTGAGCTGCAGAACATCTGAAAGTTTGAATCAAAGAGACTTGTTTGGGCTCACATGAAACCAGACGTCTGGCATTCTTTCACGGCTTGCATATCGCCCGCCAATGGGGAGTTTAGCTTCTTTTGTTGCAAAGTGAGTTGTGGCCACTTAGTTCAAGACTTTAAACTGTTTAGGAAAAAAAAAAACATCTCATTATGTGTACATTTGGAAAAGCTGTGGTGGCCATCTTGAATCAGGCACTCAAAGTTAATCAGTACTCTCCGGGAGTTTAAATAAAACCCATCACGAGATATTTTGCTAAATCTACAAACACATTCACCTGCAAAAACATGATCGCCCTTTTGCTTCTAGTGTTGGGTGATTGTTTAATTATCAGACTAAAGAACTTGAAACTGTTGACATTTGTTGTTTTAACGTGTTACGGCATCTTTTTATCTACAACATTTTGTAATCTCTGCTGAAAGGTGAAACGTGGGCGATTACGATTTTGACTTGTGCAACCCTGTCTGTCAGCAAAATATCTACAGCTGATTAAATGTTGGAGTCAGATCTAAAATGACCAGTTCATTTTACAGAGTTACATTTTAGTGTGGTAGTATCCGAGGGTCATCCCAGATATACTGTGAGAGCTAACAAATGTGGGATCAGACATGTTTTACAGTTTTGGTATTTTTTTTAACATTAATTTTTTTCCCCTGAACATATAAATGAAATCCATCCACATGTTCAAGAGATATTTTGCTAATAGATGCAAAGACTGTAAGAAGATCCTGTGCAATCTGAGCTAAAAGCCAACCTAAAGCTAAATGTAGCAACATGTTTGCTAAAAATAGCAAAAGGTTCAAATAGCTCATGCAGAATTTGTTTAAGGAACTGAAGGGATTTCTAGGGGATTTTTTTTTTAAGTGTCAAAATGTTACAAAAACCAAACGTCACAGCAGCCACCCACTGAATGAACTGAAAGTTTTGATGCATTAATGGCTAAACACACAAAGTCTGCAGAAGTTAGGTTACAAAAGCACAAGACAAAATATATAAAAACAGATTTTGACCAACGGTCAGACAATAAAATGACAGAAAACAAAAAGTTCAACAGCAGGAAACTGATGCAGCTCTGCTTTGAGTCGAGATGTTTGAGCTGTTGGGTTCAACAGCCTGAACTTGTTTCCAGAATTTCATAAGAGCCACAGAGAAATGGAGAAACAGATGGATTGCGTTAGTGCTGCGGTTTTAAAAAAAACGTGTTGCATTTTCTTTAGCACATCACTTTTAAGTAGGAGGGGCGTTTTAAAGCTTTAAGAGCCTCCGAGAAGAGTTCCAGGCAGAGCAAGACTGGGATCAGGGTGAGTAACTTCCTCTGAGGGACTGAGAACTTTTTTCTTTTTTGGGGGGGGGGGGGGGGGGGGGACAGGATATATCTGGGTGGTTATATTAACAGGTGTACCCAGAATGAAAGGACTGAAATGAACAGAGACCAGGACTCAAAGCAGTTTAGTGTTTATTTACAAAGTGAAATAAGGGTGAGACATCAGGGAGGGGAGCTGGATTACCTGGAAGGCAGAGGGGAGTGTTCGGTGCTCATGTTTGTGGCTGGTATTCTTACAAAGAGAGAACAGGGATCGTTGACCCAAAAGTGTCCAGGATAGGGAGTAAGGTGGAGATCCAAGGAAAGCAGGCAAGTGGTGGTTGGCGCAGAGCAGCTGAGGAGGCGCAGGAGGATAAGGATCTTGCAGAGGACTCCAGACAGAACAGCAGGGTGGACTCTGAGGAGGTGGACAAAAAAAAAAAAAAAGTCGTTGATATTTTTAGATCTCTCATAGAAATACTAGAACAACTCTACTGTTGGTAGTGATATCCCAGTGTCTGCTGAATAGTCTCTGCAGCTTCTTCTACTCCTCCTGCATGAAGAGCTGAAGATCTGCAGCTGTGTCCTGAGTGGAGCGAGGAAGAAGACAGAACAGAACTGCTACAGTTAAACCTTATGCTGCATTTTAGTTTTGGTTTTTCCTGCACGGCTTCTTAATTTTTCCAAATGTCATTTGTTCTCTGTGTGAACTAAAAACTTTGTTTCATTAACTAATTGTGCTAAAGTCATAAAAAACAGAGCTGTTTACTTTTAAGTTGGTTTCTTTTTATTCATTCTGTGATTTGTTATTATCTGTGTCACTTTCTTAAAGAAACCGTAAGCCTGAGTTTATTTATTTTTTGATCACTAGAGCCAAAAATATACCAGAATTTAATTTTATTTCAGAATAATACGATGAAAGAAAGTGTATGTCAGGTAGTGGTAACTAATCTCTAATCCACAGCCCAGATTAAACTGTGCAATTCAGTCACATTCTGCTCAGTTTGATCCACATTTTAAATATTTTTTACACAGTTGTCAAACAGCTTGTCTTGATTTAACGCACAGATTTGTTGGCGCCCTTCCCGTCCTGTTCGTACCGTTTCTCCGCCTGCACGAGGACCAGGACCGGCTCAGATTCAGACTCAGAGATGAAGATTTCCTCTGAAGGCTTCACTCTGAACTCCCTGAACCAAAGAGGCAGAGCAGCAGGAGGATGGATCAGAGGGAAGATCCAGAAAATTAGGAGAAACTCCCACCATGATGTTGGGGTCAACACTCTGCCTTCCACCGATGGACGTCTGTCCCCTGAGGACGAAGAGGCTCCAGAAGGTGAGAGACAGAAACTCTTCATAGCTCAGTTCACTGATGATGGATGGATGGATGGATGGATGGATGGATGGATGGATGGATGGATGGATGGATGGATGGACGGACGGACGGACGGACGGACGGACGGACGGGTGGATGGATGGATGGATGGATGGATGGATGGATGGATG